TCCGACAGTGCGGCGCTCCCTCAGCACTGACCCTCCGACAGTGCGGCACACCCTCAGCACTGACCCTCCCACAGTGCTGCACTCCCTCAGGACTGACCCTCCCACAGTGCGGCGCTCCCTCAGTACTGACCCTCTGACAGTGCAGTATGTGATAGTCAGTCTGTGTTCTGAACTCAGTCCTTTCTGGGTTTGACCTAACTGCATGGACTCTGACTGAAAGGGGATCATAATGCTGACTGATCACAGACCAATTCTGGTTGAAAGGCGTCCGATTCATTGCTGAGCATTCCCTTACAGATATGGACCACTGACTCAGGGTCTGACAGAACTGGGCAGTCTTCACATCAAGCTGCAGTCAGTAAGTTATCTGATGGATATTATATTATATGATAATTAATATATCACCAATGGATAGTGAACGTAAATACTTTAAGTAATCCTTTGATGACAATCAGAAAAGCAGAAGTGAAGGAGGTAAATAGGGATAATGCTTTTACCAGAGAAATCTATTGTTCATAGACAGTGGTTACACAGCCAAATCCATGTGGTTATCCAAAATGCATTTGGAAGCAAAGTGCAAGGGTTCATATGCTGGAAGGGGTCTACTGCCCCTGTCCTGGGAGTATTTGATGGACAGCCTGTAGAATCAGCTTCACTCTGTATTTAACCTCATGCTGCCCCTGTCCTGGAGTGTTTTAAGTGTAGAGAAAGTTTTACTCTAACTCACACTGCAGTTATTCTGGGTGACTGTAATGTCATATTATTTTTTTCCTATGGACCAACAGACAATATAAAAAGTGTAAGTTGAATCATCTTGTGTTACAGGCTCAGGAGTTTATCATGACCAGCTCCCGTAGCGTTCAAAGCATTCAGAAGCAATTGGACCAGATCGCAGCTGAGTGGTGCCAGAGCCGAGATATACATCATGAAGACAACACGTGAGCACGGTTTACTTCAGAAGCTGGAACCAATGAGGATTATGGCACTGACGGAGGTCATTTGGCCCACCCTCTTTCTGCTGGCCCTTTGCTAGATTCATAAACTAATTCCATTCCCTTGCTCTTCCCATCACCAGACATCAATCCCAAACCAGTCACAAATTACACTGACCATGGAACAGATGGAGAAATAGGGAATGTGTGAGGTCATTCATTCTGGCTGTAAGCATGAAAAAGCATTGTTTTGAAAGGTGTAAAAATTGGAAATATTAATGCCCAGATAAAGCCTCTCTGGTGAAAAGAAAGGAATGTTAGCGTACAAGTACATCAAATGATGAAGAAAGTCACTGCCATATTTGCCTTTACTGGCAAGGCTTTGGAGTACAGGAATAAAAGAATCTCATGCACTGTACAGAGGCTCTGGTGAGACCCCACTGTGCGTGTGGTTTTGATCTTCATATTTAAGGAAAGATAGACTTGCATTTGAGGCACCACAGCTAAGGTTCACTAAATTGACCTCTGGGATAAGATGTTGTCTGATAATGAAAAGCTGAGTAAATTGAGTCTATATTCTCTGGAGTTTAGAGGAATCAGACTGGATCTCTTTGAAATATTAAAGATTCTAAAAGGCTTGACAGGGGTGACACTCAGACTGTTTGCCCCCAGACTGGGTTATCGAGAACATGGGGCACTTTCCAGACTAAGGGGCAGATCATTTAGGAAGGAGACAATGAGTATTTTTTCCATTGAAAAGGTTGTGAACCTTTTGAATTTTCTAACCCAGGGAGCTGGGATGTGTTATCATTGAATATATTTAATGTGGAGGTGGATAGATCTTTGTTCTTTCAGGAAATTGAGGAATATGGGGATTGGGTGGGAAAGTGAAGTTGAAATGCAAGATCAGTCATGATTAGATTGAACGCTGGAGCAGAGTCATTGGGCTGAACGGTCTACTGTTCCTATTTCCTATGTTTGTAAGTTCTAAGCCAATTTTCTCACGATCCTTCTGTAGCCCAGGATCAATCCTAAACTAATCCTGCTTTTTGCTAACCATCCTGAATTAGTCCTAAGCTAATGTCCATTCAGGTCTCCACCGTTGTCCTCTATCAATCACATATTAAACCCACTGCCCTGCTCTCTTTCAATAACCCTGTATCAAATCGAAATATGTAACATATGCCACTCCTGAATTCACCTTGTTTCCTCTGATTGACCTTAACTGTATCAGGTTGGGTGTAGAAGGAAAGACACAGTCAGTATTGTCCTTACTTGAAATCAGTAATTATCAGTAACTGAAAACCAAAAACATCCCAAGTATAGTTTAAAGTGAATTTCTTAACAACATGACTAATACATGGTCACTTCACTCCATTTCAAACAGAATATTACTCTTTTATTAAGTGCCTTTAAAAGCACAAACCTATCCATTTATCAAAATTCACACCTCTGTAACTGGTTGGGTTATGTTGAGCAGGAATTTCTGTTACAATTGCTTTCAGTGCCTGAGGATTTGAGAAGAGAAGAATAAGTCAGGTTTCTAGCTCCTGATAGTGGCTCAGCCAATAGTACTGCTGCCTTAGAGCCAGAAAGTTCTGGGTTCAAGTCCTACTGTGGTGTTTTAAGCATTTAAATAGCACTGATACTCCTGCAGTGGTACTGAGGGAGTGGTGCACAATCAAAGTGCTGTCTTTTTGGATGGAACATTAGACTGATACTAGCTCAGTCAGCCCTTAGAGGTAGATATAAAAAATCCCACAACACTATTTTGGGGTAGTATTTAAGCTCAATCAACATCATTCAGACAAATAGACCATTCTCATGTTGCTGTCGTGCGATCTTGCTGTGCAGCTCACCACCACCATTTCAAGGGCAACCACAGAGAGGAAATAAATGCTGGACCAGTTAACAATGTCCATGTCCCACAAGTGAATAAAAAAAGGTTAAAAATTGGTAGCTGCATTTGCTACATTACAACAGTGACTGTGTTTCAGAAATGGTACACTGGCAGGAAGGTGTTCTGGGGCAGCTTGATCTCACGGTAGGGGCAATGTAAGTGCGAGTTCTTCATTTGATGGTCTCTCACTATATTACGTGAAGCTGTGTCCCTGTTTTGATAGTAGGTGACTACAGGGTCATATTGGTTGTGATGCCTGAATAACTCAACCAGCACTCCCTATCTAAACAGGTTCACAGAGAATGAGTGAGGTTCCGGCAACCCAGGAAGTAAAATGGAGCAATGAGAATTAAAGATGGTAACAACAGTTGAAAATGAAGAATAATTAATATTTCTGTTGTCTAATTATTTTGTAGAGTTGGAAAAGTGGAAGTTTTATTGGAGAAAGTTTCTTCCATTCACAGCCAGCTCAGAAAGGACAGAGTGAAAATGAGTAAGCAGCCAATTCATTACTACTTCGCATTCCTAACATTGGAGCCATGTCATAGTGTCAAATATGGTTCAGAGGCTGTAACTGAACATGAAGCAGCTGGTATCTGTACTCCTCAATCTCTCCTCCAAGTCGGGAGGTTGTGAGGCTGTCCCACAGCAAAGATTTGGCACTAACCCTGGGCAGCGGTGTTGAGAGAGCACTGCACATGCACGGGTGCCATTTTTCAGATGAAACATTAACAAGGCCCTTTGCCACCTTCTTAATTGACATAAAAGTTCCTGTGTGCCTCATAAAGCAGAAGAGTTCACTTTTAAACATTTATCCTTCACTGAAGATCAGCAAAGGCAAACTAGCTGAATATTTTTATTCCATTGTTGTTTGTGGGATCTTACTGTGTGTGAATTGGTCTGTGTCCTACATTATAGTGACTGAACGTCAAAATTACATTACTGCCTGAAAGTTCTTTGGGACAATCCAAAGGTTGTCAAAGATGCTATATTAATGCAATTCTTTCTACAATCATTTCTCTTTTAGCTTTTAGGAAGAGTAAGCCATTTCATCCCCGAACCCCACCTCAATTCCCACATCGACCCTTACAGCTCATTCTGGAATACGTTTCCTCAGCTACTGGCTGCTCTTCTCATTGTTCCAGCTTCACTTGGAAGACATGCTGATGGCTACTTGACAGCATAGAGCCAGGGTACAGTAAAGGGAGCAGGGCATGAGGCCAAACCCAAAGTTGTCTTTCACTCAATGCCCAGCACATGCCCCCAGTCATCAAATGGAAATCAGTGAATGAGTCCAGTGGGGGCCCAGTTTAACAATGCCTACATATTAGAAACAGACTTTACTTGCATCAAATACTGAAAATCACAGTGACCCTCACTATCCAATACTTGTTCTTTTTCAGAACTTCAATACAATGATGAGCAAATCCATAAATTTGAGAAGTAAGTTGTTTTTATAACTTTTCTTGTTTCAGTTTAAAAGTGTCAGTTTGACTCTGTGGATAACAATCCTGCCCCTGACTCTGAAGATTGTGAGTTCAAGTCCCACTCCAGCAATTTTTTTGCATGTTGTTTTGGAGTGCTGCATTGCCATAGGCACCATATTTCTGAAAAGCTGCCAAACAGATGTTGTTTTGTGATTCAGTTATATATCAAAGATCTCATGGAACAATTAAATAACTGTGTTTCCTCTTATCCAACATTAGATGTAGTTCTACAATTGGACAGAAGTTGCTGAATAATCCTGTCAGTCAGACTCATAATGTGATAAGCTTGCATGCATTGGAAGCCATATACATTAAACGTGAGGCCCTGTTCCTTTTAGGGAGAGGGAACATGTATACACAGTGCACCTGTTTCAACTCCAGACAGCTATTCACTGGTACATTTCTCAGGACAATGCTTTGACCAATCAGAGTCAATCCACCTGATTTAAAATTTAAACAAAGCCTGGCTGCTCCCTATTAATCAGACCCACAGCAACGTGGTTGACTCCGAACTGATCTCTGGGCAATTACGGATGGGCAATAAATGCTGCCTAGCCAGCGAGGCCTTCATCCTGTTAATGAATAAAGAAAGAATAAAGAAATTAATTGGTGCATTTTCCATGGCAGGAACTCTATCAATCGGAGTCCACTTCCAAACAGTTAGTACTGCCCTCTGTTGCAGTACAAATATTAGGTTTTCCATTAAATTGATGTTCTTGCAAAATGTCCTGATGGAGTGCAAGTCCAAAAGTTTGAACAAAATGCATCTTGTTTTCAGCAATGCTCAAGTTCTGTTGTACCAAACAACTACTGAGAAATAGATGGATTTCATTTTTAAATCCATTGCTGGTCATGAGATTTGATGTGAGCAAATTCACAACAAAAATTACCTCCATAAGGTGTTACCACAGAGAAATGTTGTATAAATTCAAACTCCTGCCTACTGCAGAATCCACTTGACTCCCAGTGACATTACTGATTCAGAGCTGGTGGCAGTATGGCACATTTCATAGAAAGTACAGAATGCCATTGTATCTGTACTTCCATAAAAGACCTACCACACACCACTGTTCTTGAACATTGCCCTGCAATATTTCCCATTCCAAATATTTATCTAATTCTCTTTTGAAAGTTATAATAAAATTTAACACCCTACCAGACAGAACGTTCAGATCACAACTTGTTGTGTTTGTATATGTTTTAAAAACAATTCTCATTTCTCATCCGGTAGACGTTTTCCGAAACCTTAAATCTGAGCCTTCTGATAATCCATTCTTGTGCCAATGGAAATCCAGTGGATCAGGAGAAACAGTCAAAATCCTTCTTCATTTTTAACATCTCTGTTAGAACTCTGCTGACCCCCTCTTATGCAGAACAATCCCAGCTTCCAGTCTCTCCACATTCACTGAAGTCCCTCATCCCTGGTACCATTTTGGCAAATCTCCTCCAAGATCTTGACATTGTCCCTAAAGTATGGGGCCCAGAATTCAACACAATGTTCTATCTGTCTTCTGGCCATTCGTTTAAAGAAGATTTGCAGTTGTTGTTTTATCTGCCACCCTGGTGGGTATCTGAAAAACTAAATGGAGTGATTTGGATTTAGACAATAATACAATCCCATTGTAAAACCTTTTGTGTATATTTTAACAATTTTGTTGGTGTCCTGAACTCTGGACTTTGCACTTTCCCTTGCAGTTATATTGTCCATCCTAGGGACATCTTGCATTCTTAGTATTTCTTTAATGTTCCAGGATCAAACTGGGAATGCATGCAAAGAAGGTGCAGATGTTAGTCAGAGAGGATTGTGTACAGAAATACCAAAAACTGTTGGCTTCTACCAAAGAATGGATGAGGTATGTGACTACGACTCCATGTGTGACTGATTACCAATGGATTACCAATGGAAATAATAGCTCGATACCCAAATTGGTCAAATGTCTAAAGGTTGGCATGATGCTAGTTATCCCAAGGACAGGTGTAAGTGACTCAAAGCCAGCTACATAGTAATGGAGAACAACTGGAGGTTAGAGTCTGGGTGTTGTTTTGAGGATTACTACCTGACAGCTGGTTGAAATCTGATGGGCAGTTGGATGATTATCTAGGGTGAAAATTTGAACCTGGTTTGGATAAGCAACCGACTGTTGCAGTCTATTGTTGAGTAGTTATTTTTAAGAGCATTGGCTTCCCATTGCACTCAGGTTGAGTTCAGGAGACAAGATCTTCACTGATTTTGGATTCTGCCCAACATGATACGCAGTGAATTCAAATTTTGTTTTCATAATCCACAAATATGTTTATAAAAGGGACTAAGAGGATGTTGAATTTTCAGAGAAACACATATTGATCATTCATAAGCAGAGAAGCTGGAAATAAAGGGAAGGAAACCTGCTCTACCCACCAAGGAATGAGCAATAAGGGTAGGCCATTTAGCTTCTTGAGCCTGTTCAATGAGATCATGGCTGATCTGTGGCCTAACTCCTCTACCTGGCTTTGGCCCATATCCCTTAATACTTCAGCTTAACAAGAATTTATCTATATAAAAACCGAACAAATCACGGATTTTGTAAATCAGAAACAACGACAGAAGTTGCTGGAAAAGCTCAGCAGGTCTGGCAGCATCTGTGGAGAGAAATCAGAGTTAATGTTTTGGATCCAGTGACCCTTCCTCAGAATATATCTATCTCAGATTTAAAATTCACAACAATCCTGGTTTGCAACTGTAAATGTCGGCCTTACCAGTGATACAAATCCCAGGAATGAAGATCCTGGGGCTCGTAGGGATTTGAGGAATGTAAATAGCATCACACATGGGTGTGAATGAATAATGAGATGGAAATAAGGGGTTGTGGGTGAAGGTATGAGTTGGACTTGTAACCACAACACATTTTGCAGGATATTCTGCGAGACCCGAAAGCAACTGACAACCTTCAAAAACCAGAGTGTGAACTTCATTCAGGAGCTGGAGAAACACCAAGCTCATTTGAACAAGGTACATTCTCTGACCCTAATAAACTCACTGAATAATAAAGGATGCTTTAAAAGACCATTGTGTCTGTAGGCAGACCTGTTCTGACAGGAATTAAACTCCATGAATTCAAAAAAAATGTTTGCTGCTCAAATGAGGAGCAATCCAACTTTGTAATAATATGTGATTCTGATTCCCAAATATCTGGTCGAAATATCTGAATTGGGCAAGATCACGATTAATTTGGGCACTGGCAGAAGATGGGGTGAAGGAAAGACTGCGGGAGTGAAGAATTATGTTGTGAACCTGGGATTTAATGAGGGAGTTGAGAAGTAGTGGGGAAAAGCTTTAGTTTCTGCACAGCATACACAGAGGTAGAACTAGGTATCTGAAGCTTCACACCAATGAGGGAGGAAAGCTCAGCATATAAATATTTGATAAAACATTGGGAAAGATGTCAGTTTCTATGATGGTTTGAAGGTGAAGGAAGTGGATTGTCAGAAAACACAACGTTATATCTGATTGAACATTCTGGGCTGTAGTAATTAAATGGAATGGAAAGTGGTTTGAAACTATTGGAATTTCACAGCAAAACTAGAGTTATCTTTGGCTTAATTACACATTTGTCATCTAGTGAAAATTAAAACTGCATTCAAACAGTGATCTGCTCAACATCAATTTAGAAAGAGCCATAGTTCCCACATAACAGATAAATCAAAAACAAAACCAGAAAATGCTGGAGAAACTCAGCAGGTCTGGCAGGATCTGTGAAGAGAAATCAGAATTAATGTTTCGGATCTGGTGATCCTTCCTCAGAACTGATGGTAGCTGGGAAAATGTCAGTTTATATGCAGAACGTAGGGTGGGAGGAGGGGGTAAGGAGTAAACAATAGATGGGGATAGAACCCAAAGAGACAGGAGAGCAGTTGGACAGACAAAAGAGTCAATAACGATCTGGCGAATAGCTGGAGACTGTTGGTGGCTAACAATAGATAGTGTGTAATGGCAGACTATAATATAACAAGTAAAAACCAAAAGAACTGCGGATGCTGTAAATCAGGAACAAAAACAGAAGTTGCTGGAAAAGCTCAGCCGGTCTGGCAGCATCTGTGAAGGAGAAAACAGAGTTAACATTTCGGGTCCGGTGACCCTTCCTCAGAACTGATTGCAGCTGGGAATACAATACAACAAGGCCTGGTATATGGGGTTGGAGGCTAGGACATAGGAGAGTTTAGGCCCTAAAATTAGCATCAGAACTGAAAGGAGCTGGAAAGTGGTAATTTTTTTAAAAATGCTGTTGACAGAGGGAGGAGGAAGAGCCAGTGGAACAGATGGTGAGGATGCCCAGAGTAAAAGACAATGGGAGTGCTAATGGTAATAAAGAAGTGACTGAGATGTAAAGTAGGTGTTAATGATAGGGGTGAAAAGTTAAAAAAAAAAGTCCACTCTGCTGAGAGTAAAGCCAATAAATAAACAGTAAATTAAGTCTTTCTGCAGAGCTGTGTGTTTTTATTTAGCACTGTGTACTGAACAGGGCTTAGTTGAAGTTTTTTTCCTTAAATGAAAGAATGACCAGAGTGTTTCCCCATGAATGTTCTTATCTCTGTCAGAAAATTCAGAAATTGAGTCCTGTTGCTACAACCCCATCAATTAGAACAGTGAGAGAACAGATGCATCTGGAAGGCTGAGCTACTTTAGTGTTTTACCTGATTTCAAAATTACTGTCTGCCCAGGTTAGAGAGTGAATGCAACAATCGCTTCTTAGTTTCAATAGAAGAACATCAAAGAACTGGTAGTAGTTTCTTTATTCAGGTCTAAACCTAAAGTCGCCATATCTCTGTGTGTCTGGGAGTCTCCAGGAATTGAAAATGACAATCTCCTCTTTCTTTGTGAATTGCAGATATTAGAGCAGGGGCTGCCGAGGCTTCAGGAAGAACAACAATCTGTGACCAAAATACCAGCGTCTAGAGACAACTCTGAACAGAAATGCATGGATATGACAATCAGGTGGGTAGCGAGGTCCCCGAATTGAGAGTGCATCGTATTTCCCAATTTAATACAAATTGGAATTATTCTGTTACATTGTCCCCTCTGGGAATCTGTACATCCATCATCAATCTGAAAGACTTGATTCCAAACCTCATTGACTCACCAAATAATACACATGCCCACCTCCATGCAGTGGGATAATGAGCAGCAGGGCCAGGATCCACCTGGATCACAGGCTGGAAGAGTACAACAGGTCAGACAGCATCCGAGGAGCAGGAAAGTCAATGTTTCGGGCTGAAACCCTTCGTCAGGACTGGGGAGGGTGAGGGGAGCCTAGAAGTAAATGAGGGGAGTGCTGGGGGAAGGGCATCTGGGATGATGATAGGTAATGCAGGTAGGGGCTTATTGTGATTGGTCAGCGGGAATAGTGGAGCAGATAGGTGAGTAGGAAGATGGACAGGTTAGGTCAGGTCAGGGAGGAGGGCTGGACATGGGATAAGGTTGGGGGAGGAGCGATTTTGAAGCTGGTGAGGTCAATATTGAATAAAAACCAAAAGAACTGCAGATGCTGTAAATCAGGAACAAAAACAAAGTTGCTGGAAAAGCTCAGCAGGTCTGGCAGCATCTGTGAAGGAGAAAACCAAGTTAACGTTTCGGGTCCGGTGACCCTTCCTCAGAACACAGTTCGAATAACATCCCACTGAAGGGTCCGGCATCAGTTGTGGAGATGTCACTAAGGAGTGGGATTTGGACTTAGTGGTAGTAGGAACTGCAGATGCTGGAGAATCCGAGACAACAAGGTGCAGG